GGGGAAGGGGAGCCGGCCTCCCCCTGTGAGGACAAGAGCCCCCCCGGCAGCGGGGAGCTGGAGCAGGGACTGTCAGCGCCCCCACCACCAGCGTCCCCGCCGGAGCCCCAGCAGCAGCCCCCCCGGGCTTGCTCCTCTACCTCCATCAAAGTGGAAGGAGGTGGAGGGTGCGACCAGATCACCCCAGATGAGGAGCAGAGGCTGGGCCAAGCTGGTTTCATGCAGAGGCAGTTCGGGGCCCCCCCGGCAGCGGGGAGCTGGAGCAGGGACTGTCAGCGCCCCCACCACCAGCGTCCCCGCCGGAGCCCCAGCAGCAGCCCCCCCGGGCTTGCTCCTCTACCTCCATCAAAGTGGAAGGAGGTGGAGGGTGCGACCAGATCACCCCAGATGAGGAGCAGAGGCTGGGCCAAGCTGGTTTCATGCAGAGGCAGTTCGGGGCCATGCTCCAGCCGGGGGTCAACAAATTCTCCTTGAGGATGTTTGGCAGCCAGAAGGCCGTGGAGAGGGAGCAGGAAAGGGTTAAGTCTGCCGGGTTCTGGATCATCCATCCCTACAGCGACTTCAGGTACAATTTCCCCCTCCCCGGCCCACTCAAAACTAGCTGGCCTGCCCCTTCCCCTACCATGCCCAGCTCAGACCTCTCTGCACAGCACACACCCAGACGTAACTTTCCTTGTTAATTTCCTAGCCAGAGGAACTGGAGGACACATCCAAGATCTCTTCCAGTCAAACAATCTGCAGGTTTCCTTTCTATTTAAGCTTAATTTTAGCATCCCCACACTATTATGAATTTTAAATTGTGTTTATAAACCCACAAGTGTCTTTAGCTTTGGCTTTTTATAAGGGAAAGCCTCTCCGTGAGTTCAGTGTAAATGGGGAAAAATGTTCCCACCTGATGCACAACTCTGGACTAAAAGCGTGGTGTCTGCTGCTTACCTCGTCCTACATCTCCAGTTCAGAACATATGGTCTGCCTGATTAATGTTTCAATTCCCATTTTCGTACCTCAAAGTCCTCTCCTTTCTCCCTTCCCAAGAGTTAGGGATGGATGTTGCTACCGTTGCTGTTCTCTATACGGCTTCTTACTGCAGCATCGTTTGTCAGGAATTGGTATGTGCAGGGGATAGCAGCGTTCATTAAGAAGGAACTTAACACCTTCAGAGTCTTACAAAGAAAGATTTTCTCTTTTGCATCTGTAGATCCTTATTTGCAAAATTAATTTGGATAGGGAATAGTTAACGTTGTCTTTATGAAAGTAATGGCTTGCTTTCACTAAGCAACATTCTCATGAAGGTTAATAAGGAAATTAACTTGTAAACCCTAGAGCCAATTTTTGTATAGTTCTGTGTAGCACAGGGGTTGTGTTTGGGTATTTCTGAGTAAAGTATTTTCTACTGCACAGGTGAATTGTCCTCTGCAATATGTATGTAAAGTACTGCAATCAATAATTAATTACTTAGTGCAATCAATGGCTAAGGTTTATTGCTTCAACTTTAATTACAACTGGCTTACATCTCACATTTAAAAGCACACAGTAGAAGAACATTATTCAAACACGTATCTATCAAACTACATGATTTTATTGAATTCTTGGACTCTTCAAGAAACCTTGCGTTATTCCCTAAAATACAGTTAGCAAGGTAACTGCAGGAAGGAGTTCCAGGGTGGATTTGGGTGCCCAAAGACAGAAACGACAGAAACCTCTTGACACTACCTTTTAGGGATTTAGCAAGCAGTCTGCACGCTTAGAAGATTCAGCACTGGCACTGAACAGATTCCTTGATATTTGCTTGGATTAACAAATGTTATTAGAAGGCCATGTGAATTGGAAGACTGCGCTGTCGTTTAAATTCAGGGCATTCAAGTGTCCCAAGCGCACAGCTGACCGAGCATGTGAGGGTTTCCAGTAGCTACATCATGATACGTACATCCTTGCAAGTACATTCTTATTCAAACTCAGATTGGAAAGAGTATAAAATTGCCTCCCAGTTGTGACTGATCAAGTAACACCTCACAAACACAGTGAAATGTGAGAGTGACTAGCTTTAAAAAGAACAAAACCAATATCATATTCTTGGCTATAGATCTTTTTATTATTTACCACGAGTCTGGAGTTAAAAACTAAGTACTGTGATTTCCTGGGTTATTCTAGCAAGGTGTTCTTTGTGTGTTGCACCCTCAAGAAATTTTGGATTTAGTTGCTGGATTGCATTTGGATTTATGCAGAAGTAGCATTCAGTTTGCATATCTTTTATGTATCTGTATAGTGGATTTATTCCCTTCCATCTTTATGACTACGTTTTCAGCATAGAACCAGACTGGCAAACTTCAGTAAAAGGATTGTAGCAGTAGCCAAGATAACCACCTTGCCCAAGGTGAGATGGTCCTAAGAGTTTATTTTTTTTATGATTCCTAGCGAACCAGTGCTTATTCCTTAAAACTGCAGGATAAATTATGAGGTAAGTTTTTATTTCTGAGGTATTTGGCTATAGAGCCACTCCTAGCCTTACACAAAGGAGTGAAATATGCAGGCAAGCTAGACTCTCCCAAGCCAGATGATCATACTGAGTCTGCTAACACTCAGGTGATCACACGTATGCAGATACATATGAATGCATGCATGACTCTTTAGTATTAATAATAAAATCCTTCCCTGACGTAGCTTTGCATTTGTGCAGAGAAAGCACAGCGAGTTGGGTATCTGTACCCCGGTGCAAGACACTCGCTGCTTGGGGTCAGATTCCAGGTAGGCTGATATCTTGCCGCTTTTTGTTTCTTCTAAATTGATGCTAGAAGCCTAGCGCACAAATAGGTGCTTTCTCCCTGCTACTGTATATCAACATCAGATGGGGCAGTGGTATTGATTGTACAGAGACATCTGAAGAGACCAGGAGGAGTTGGATGCACGACTGTATGGTCAGTATGTATGTTTGCTGGGGAACTTTGTTCACTCCTGTTTCTAGGTCACTTGCAGCATATCTGAATGTGAATGCCGCTTAGAGAAAATGCGTGGGCTTCCATGAAAAATGACCTATGAACAATGGCTGCCTTGAAGGAGAAGAGTGGGAGCTTTCCCGGATTCTGTTCGGGTTTTATATTCCCTCCTTCTCTGAATGCTACTAAAGCATCTGTCTTGGAAACAACTCACATGAATATGAATAGCATTTTTTGACCTCTGAAATGCAGCAGATTGCACCAAAAAGCAGATATTATCAAAATGTTTGCAAGAGCTATATCCTTGACCCAAAGGACTCCCTTTTCGGCTTTGCAAATTACGCAGTGCAATGCGTGATTGCTCCTTGTTATAGATGGGTGCAGATACTGGAGCGTTAGGATGTTGTAAGGGGCATGAGTCTCCATTACCCTGCTGTCACCAAAGCTGTGCAGCAGCATTTAGTGTACAAGTTTCTAGTTAATATTTAAATATTTAGACCCAGATCTTGTTTTCTGGGAATTTTTTTTTTTTTTTTTTTTTTTTTTTTTGGGGAGAAACCAGTTTCACCTCTGAGAACAAGGTGCATCTCCAGGCATTTTGGTAGAGCTCCAGACCTCGTGACTCCTGTCTCAGTACAGCTTGAGATGTGAAGTTTTGAATGGAACACTCCAGCCCTATTTACTGGAGCTTGATTCTGCTGTGAAATGACGTTGGTGTAATTCCTCTGACTTCATGGAGTTGCTTCTCTTCGTGCTATGTGAAAGGAGTTCCTGTTTTAGAATAGAACAGAGGCTTTCATCATACTCTCATTAAATTATTATTTTAGCATCTAATATGGCTAATTCCGGTGGCAAATCTATGACCCTCCAAGAGTAAAGCAAATTAATATGGATTAAGGCTCTGTTGATTTCTGCTTTTAGTCCATTGTGAGGGGAAGAGACAGCGAATGACCTTTATAAAAGCCAAACTCAGTGCCCCTGAGTACTCATGACTAATGCAGTGGACTAGTTCTAGAAGCACTTAAAAGGTGTCTTAGCAATTTCTAATGAAAATAAGAATACGAGCTCCTATTCTGAGATGCAGACGTATGGGCTAGCTGCATGAGTTTATTTGCATCTGTGGTTGATCACACAGTGGTGCAGAGCCAAACTGTATTTCCTAGATCAAGATTTATCTGTGACTTTGAAAGCTTTTTCACTGGGTAGATAGAATGGTAATTTATTGCTTAAAGGAAGCATTGATCCAGTACAATTGGTTTAATAAAAAAATTCCAGGCAAACAATGATCTATCTAGTTTGTAGCTGACTGAAGCATATTGGTTGTAGCTGCTATCCAGAATTGCTTGCAAAAAAAGTGTAGCATGCTGCTTTTAGAAAGGCCTGAAAAACAGATACAGTATCTGAAGGACCAAAATAGTCCTTCCAGTGGATGTAAATAGAACTGCACATTATTCTCTGTCCAGTAATCTATTAACTTCTTCACAGAAAAGAGAAGCTGCTGCCTTCTTGAAAACAATGAAAAATATTCCACTCACTAACAGTCCCAAGTTCAGATTGTAAAATTTTTCTTTTCACTGTTCTCCCTTACTCGTAATGCTTGTCTGCAAACAGATCCTTTTTAAAATTCGCTTCCTCTGCTAGAGCCCCCTATCTGCTTGGGAACCTGGGGAGCTTTCTGTGGCACCAAAACAAATAGGTGCTCAGGTGTGATGTATAAGGTAGGGGAATTCCTGAAAAACAAAATAATTTGCTCCCCTTTACGCTATTCCAGACCTCTAAGCAATGTCGTTCAGACTGCCTTCTCATGGGCAATCAGTGGGATTCACTAATTTTAGTACCAAATACTGAACCCAATAGCACTGGTGGGATTGAGCAAAAATGGGAAGGATGCGTGTTTACCCTTTCCCCTGTCCTGAGTAGAACTGATTTCCAGAGTGCCTCACGGAGTGCTGCTCCGTGGAGGTTGTTTTCATTCATAAACTTCTCACTATTTTGTTAGACAGGTAAACAATTTGTGAAGTGCACAGCGCTGCTCACTGACTTGGGCAGGTCACTTAGGTGGCCGTTGCTCTCCCTGCTGTCAGACAGTACCTCCCTTTTCTTTACCTGCTGCCCAGAATGCTGCTTCTTGTGCCGGCCTTCGCTTCACACCTATCCGCATTTAGAGGCTGTCCACAATGGCAAACTCCGATCTTGTGACTTGCCCACTGCTCATAGCAAAGTAAAATGAAAGCTACCCATTGTGTGCTGTACATAACGTACAGCAAATTGAAATTTTGCTGGGAAACCTCTCCTTAGAGGGAAAGGTCGGGGAAACAGTTGCATTCGTAGCAGAACCTATGCCTGTCATTAGAAACAAACAAACAATAATACTAATACTAATCCAAATCCCGCTGAACAGCATGGTTTGGACTTCTCTTGTCTTCAGTCGACTGTGAATCAGGCTACAGGAGAAGAAACATGGTTTTGTGACCATGAACTGAGGGGACCAAACTAGTGCAGCCATACTTCCCTTGTCCGTAGGCAAGTCATCACATGTCATGAAGTGGAGGATAAAAAAGTCCCACACTAGACAATCAGTGTGGGATATAGTTTTTTGTGTGAGACATGTTCAGATGCTACAAAAGGCAGC